CAGCTTGCCCTCAAATGCCCATAGGGGGACTGTTCAGTTGATGCCTAGCAAACCTAATACAATTAATTGGGTTTCCAAGACTGGAAGTGAAAAAGGAGTGAGTGGTGTCAGCCTTGCTGCTGTACTCTTGATCAGTAGTACAAGAAGCAGTTCACCAGCCTCCTAGCACCCTCAGCTGTGCCACGTACCACCCCCGGGGACATGTACCCCCCGCAGAGCCTGCAGTCCGAGCTGGAGCAGGAGCAGCTCGAGCACCACCAACAGTTCCTCCTCACACCCCGCCTACTGCCATCTCATAGCCTAGCCCTGTGTTTACTCAGTCTGGCCCCTGCATCCTCCCATTCTGGCCCTTGTGTCCCTGTATCCCCCCTGTGTATCTCCTCATTTTGGACCCTGTAATTCTCTGTTTCCCCTGTGTGTGTCCAGCAGTGGTGGTGGTGCTCCAGTCCCTCTTCAGTGTCTGATAGTGATTTCCCGCCCCCTCCTCAAATCACTTTCTCCGGGATTCCGGTGTTCTGTGACTTCTTTTCAGTCAGTGTACAAAAACAAAAAAAACCCATAGGTGTCAACTTAAGTGCATTTAGCATGTATCCACGTGTGCTTAATGCAATGGAAGGTGTAAACTCAGCCTGAGTTACTGCTGGAAAGTATATATAGTACTGACACTATTTTTCCTTTATCCTTGTTTTTTTTTTTTTTTGCATGTTTGTAGGAAATAACATTCTTTAGACACAGATATAGGATACTGCCTCTGGGCCGGTTCACACCACAAATAGTGCATTCCAGAACTGTCAGCCTCTGGAACGCACTGTATCGCAACTGCCGGCTCCCTGCGTTCAGGGGCGGGAGAGGGGAGGGGCAGTGCATTGAAGTCAATGGCACCGCAGCCACGCCCCCCGCCTGCAGTGCAATCGCCCGCACCCGAATGTGTGACAGATCAGTGACTGCAAAAACGCAGGCAGCCCCCTCCCGCCCCTGAACACAGGGAGCCGGCTGGGTTGCGATACAGTGCATTTTAGAGGCTAACTGACCGCTCTGGAACGCACTGTTTGTGGTGTGAATCGGCCCTCCAGTGTCTGTTTGCTGCAGGCAGCATAGTTTACTGACTGATCGCTGCAAGCAAACAGTTTACAAGACAACATTGTAAAATTATGCATAAGCCGAATCCGGCCATAGACGCTAGAATGTCAGACTAGACATGAATTGGACTCTAGACTTACTAACGGGCGGGAATCTGGACTTAGTAACGGGCCGGACTCTGGACTTAGTAACGGGCCGGACTCTGGACTTGAGTATCTGAGGCTCTCTATGGTGGGCTCTGCAGGGTCTCAGGTGGGCTGGTCAGGGTCCCTTTTTCCTGCACCTCCTCTTACCTGCCGCTGCTGGGACCCGGCCTCCTCCACCACTGGACCGGTGCTGCTGGGGCCCTGCCTCCTCCACCACCGGACTGGTGCTGCTGGGATCCTGGCCTCCTCCGCCGCCTGGACCGGCCGCCTCCACCTCCTCTCTTGTCACCTCTGGCATGCCACCCCTTGTATGGCTGATACACATGTAAGGGGCCAGGGCCCCTCAGGTGGCCCGGCCCCTCACATGTGTATCGGTCGTACCCCCCTGATGACCAGGGTACACAGCAATGAAATGGAGTGCGCTATGTTCCGGCCATGTAAACTGACACCTTTATTACATACATAATGGCACCTAGGTATGTTTCATTAAGATGTGTGAGGCTAAAAGATACCTGCTACCACAAGGGAGCTGGTCCTCCAGAACTCCGTGTTCTGTGATCTTCTTTCACAGCGCGGTGTCCTGTACAATCCTCTGGCTAAGTCTCATGTCGGCTGGTGATGGGGGTGGGGCAGCTCTGCTCTGTGTTGTGCTTGGCCGCTCTGTGCTCTCTCATCAGTGGAGCTGTCTAGGGATGTCCCGATGCCACTTTTTCAGGCCCAAGTACAAGTACTTCCCCTCATGTACTTGCCGATACCAATTACCAATACTTTTTCTTAAAGGGACAGGTAGCTGTCAGAGCCAGCCATCGGACATAGCGGGCAGGGCTGAGCTGGCCCGAACACAACCAGGGTGATTGTGTGCCCGGTGTGCCCTATGGCCAGTCCAGCCCTGCCTGCCACAATGCAAAAATGGTAGAGAATGGTTTGAGAAACACAAAAATGAATTTGAGGTGTTGACTTTATTGGAAATGCAACAGCATATATATGATTGTATCACTTGTGAAATTATGTCCTTTGAGCTGTAGTGCAATGATAGTCTCTATGCTTATGTATACTTATCTATGATATATACAGGGAGTTCTCTCTGTATGCTGTAAATTCTGAATTCTGATATAATGTTCTTCTAAGCAAGTAAAACTTAATTCAGCATTCCTCAAGATCTCAGTGATTTATCTGAACACATAACCAACAGACTTGACCTTCAAATTCTCCAGATCTCTATCCAATCGAGTATCTGTGGGATGTGCTGGAAAAACAAGTCCGATTCATGACTTACAGGACTTAAAGGATCTGCTACTAACATCTTGGTGCCACATAACACAGCATACCTTCAGAGGTCTAGTGGAGTCCATCCGTTTCACAGGTCAGGGCTGTTTTGGTGGCAAACGGGGGAGCTACTCAATATTGTCATATTGATGGTCATATTGTTATGGCTGATTTGTATATATCGTTCTATACCAGATGAAAATGACTCTATAGTGAGACAGCTAGCCACATGTACACCTGAAGGCTCCAGGGTGGGTTTATATGAAGGTGCAAATGAGCTCAAAAGAGGGCTCGCAGGCAGAGTGGGTCTGCCGGTACAATGTCAAACGTAAGGTTGCAGGCAGCACAAACCAGTCGCACAGGCAGCAAAGAAGCTCTGCGTGTGAGAGTTACTAGCATCAGTAAGGCAGATGCTACACCTGTGCCCAGCAAAATAGTGGCTTATTCACAAATGGCTGCAGGCCTGCCCTCTTAAGGTGCCCATACACTTTACAATTATCTGCAGATTTTCTGTGGTCAGATGGAAAAAGTGCAACAGATTGGCCCAGGTGGAGATTACCCAATCCACACAGTTAAGGTGACATTAAACCCATACATTTTTTTTTAACATAAACCAATACTGTAATGCATGGTAGTTTCCCTTCTCTTTGCTGCTCTTCCTTTTAAATTCTCATGCTGGTGGAGAACTTCCCTTTGCAGCTGAGTGCCTCTTCCTGTAGTGCTGGCTCAGGTTGTGAACCTACACACAGACACCATGTATCCATTTCAGAGACAAGGCAGTCTGCTGCAAAACAGAAGTTCTGCCCAGCATGAGAAGAGATACGGATTTAAAAAGGAAGAGCAGCAAAGAGAAGGGAAACAACCATAGATTACAGTAAGGGACACATTACAGTATTGTTTTATGTTAAAAAATCTGAGGGTTTAATGTCACCTTAAGTGTAGATGGAGGAATCTGTTGCACCTTTTCCATCTGACCACAGAAAATCTGCAGATAAATTGTAAGGTGTATGGCCAGCTTTACCTGGAGGATTACAGGGGCAGTCAGCCAGCAGAGAACAGTACAACAGTCACCCACATCAAGTAGGAAATGTGGCTACAAGAAAAAAGCCCAGGAAGAGAGGCCCTGCAGTGAGGGCAAAATTACATTAGGTAAAATATCGACCTAAGGCACGATTAAGCTGTGGCAGCAATGCAGTCGTATTAAAGTAGTTAAAAATTAAAAGGGCCAATGGAAAATAGAATAAAGGACAGCTACGGTCTCAAAAAAAAACCCCAGGGACCAGCAAAAAAAAACAAATTGAGCAGTCTACTTCACAAATGAGGTGAGCCATCCTGGGGATCAGGGTCCAGGGCTCTGAAACCTGGATAAAGGTGCCCATACACTGCACGATTCTCGTACGAGAATCGCGGGAAATCCCGCGATCGTACGAGAATCGTGCAGTGTATAGAAGGCGTGCGACCATTTCTACTGTACGGTCGCACGTCTTCCATCGAACCAGCATGTTTGAAAACCCGCCGGGAATCGTACGATTCTCGGCGAGTTGGTGGCCTGCTGGTTCGACAACTGCCGAACGGGCCGGTGTGCGCACGCGCACACTGCCCGTTTGCAGTCAGCGTAAGCCTGCCCCTCATTACAGTCATCGCAAGCCCGCCCCTCAGGGGGTGTGGCTTGCGATGATCGAGAGTGCGATCTGCCCGTCCAAGATGGGCAGATCGTACGTTTTTTAATCCCTTTACAACCATCGTAAGACTAAGGTCTTGCGATGGTTGTACAGTGTATGGCCACCTTAAGGCATCCACTGGTAATAGACAGACTTGGTGATCTGACATGCAGCTCAAGCACTGTCCAGGAATGTGAAGGGAATCAGGTGCAGGATTGGAATACCTGATTTTTAGACTATTATAAAGGTGGCCATACACTGTACAACCATCGCAAGACCTTAGTCTTGCGAAGGTTGTAAAGGGATTAAAAAAACATACGATACTTTTTTTAATCCATTTACAACCATCGCAAGACTAAGGTCTTGCGATGGTTGTAAAGTGTATGGCCACCTTTCGACTGCTCTAAATGATTGACTGGAGGGACTTCCAGAATACAGATAAGGTATGAAACTTTCAGCAGAGGGTTGATTAAAGAAATTCCACATAATAGTCTTTTTTTAGCAGGACTGGGGAAGTACATCCTATCATCTCAGGGAACATAGCTAAATTGGGCTCTATAACATTTATGGGAAATACCCACTAGAAGAAGCTGTCCCCTTTCATTTTAACAAAAATGTGTGTCCAACATATCTTGTGCTGGGACACACACACACACTGCTCACCTAATCTACGGTGCTGTGTCCTTTAAAGAACGATAGAGGAAATTAGTTATGGAAAGGCATTGCAGCCTAATGCTTCCCAGTGAAATGGCTCTTGCCACTATATCTCAAGTAAAGTTGTATAGCTAGCCTTTTACAACTACTTTATCCCAATAATATTGTAATAACTGTTTTGTTTCACTTGAAGGCCTTTGAGCTGGCAACAGGAGATTACTTGTTTGAGCCTCACTCAGGTGAAGAATACACACGTGATGAAGGTATGTCAGTAGCAATAACAGATAAGTTTTACTTTATAACTACTTAGGCCTTTTTGTGTTTAAGAAGTCACAGATTTGAGTGGTTCTGAATGATCTGTTTTAGTTTCAGTAGGCATACATTTTTCCCCTATTACAGCTGATATTTTACATAGTTACATAATATATAAGGTTGAATAAAGACACAGGTCCATCATTTTAGCATAAGTGGATTTTCTTTATCCAGATGCATTTTGCATTTAAGTTACTTTTCATCTATAGTAGTATATTGGGTGACCTGACTACTCTCTAAAGATGTTATATGTCAGGAACTAACTGGCTGTTAAAGGTTACCTGCTTCCCACTTCTCTGGTACAGTTTGCTGCTGGGTGCTGGTGTGGTCTGCCAGCTGTGTTCTCTTGTGGGGGCTTCTGTTTCATGCCGTGCTTCTTCCTGTCCTCCCAGGGTCTTACTGCTTGCATGTTCTAGCCTCTCTGCTGGCTCCTGCAGTCCTTTCTTGCTTTCACAGCACTCCAGGCCTCTTCTTTAGTGCCCTGGCACACGTGGCCTATTGTATTATACAGCTTGCTATTGCTAGGGATTGTGTGTGTGTGTAATCTTGGTTTCCTGTTATCCTCTTTTTTTCATGTTGACCTCATTATTTCCTGCTAGTTCCCCCATCTTTGCCAAGCTCTTTTATTCTTGGTTTGGTCTTCTGTTTTTTTTGGACCTTTAGTTCCTGTACGTTTGTAGTCTGCTTAGACTTTGTTCCTACCTTTGCTTGATATCTCTGATCCTGCTGACAACTACCTGTGACCGGTTGAACTGCTTGGATCTGATTGCTTGCTTAGACTGACCTTACTAGTACTCTGCCTACCCGGATCTTGGCTTTGTTATTGAATACATCTCTGCCTTGCCTTCTCTGCATTTGCAGTAGTTAAATATTTGTCTCAGCAATATTCAAGGAAGTATAGACATTTACACAAAATAAGACAAAAAACGAAAAAAAAAGAGAGAAGGTGCAAAGATCTTGAAAAATAAAATCAACCTTTAATATGAACAATTAAAAGAACAATGTATGCACCTACATGTACCAAGGAGAAAAGGTTCAGTGTACGAGGCCGAGTATGGAAAGTATAAGCTATACCCTATTGCTCCTACAAACCATAGGGAAACCCTCAGACAAAGTCTACTTTTACGCTTTTGGCTTCTCCTTTTTTGTAATGTTAGGAGGGGTTGTGAGGGGTGAGAGGTTTGCATTGTATGTTAAAGTAGAGCTATTGGGAGAGTAAACTGTACTCTTCCCAATATTTAAGCTAGGGTGTGACACTGCAGCTGTCACTTGCCGTCTCTATTGCTTAACAACTGAGCGATCACAAACTGCTGATTGCTCAGCTCACTGCTTCTCCTGGCAAAGAGTGACTGACCCCGCAGGTATTCCTCCCATTCTCTGTTCCTCCAGCGCTTATTGAAGGGACAGACAGGGGAGGAGATGGGAAGAGCTGGCTGTGGCTCTAGAGTCAAAGCCAGCTGTCAATCAGGTAGTGGGGTGGATCTCAACAATATTGTCGGCTGCAGCAGAGGTCTGCGCTATCAGCATATAGCTGGCAGTAGCCCACTATATGCTGACTTTGGGAACACATAGCAAACATATAGAGGGGTTTTCTCAAATTTGACTGCAAAAGTGAGAATACACTTTAAGGAAAGCTGGTGTAAGGATCCCATCTATTTCCTCTCTAGGAAACCCCCACACTTTAAGTAAGCCAGTTTTTAGAAACCACTTGGAGATTATAGACTTTTCCTTCTTGTTGATTTAGCTTGGCCTTCATTATTTGAATTGATCAAATTTAGAGCTTCCTGTTTATGAAATGTTACAGTGGCAAATGTTCTACCTTTACTAACAGGCTTACAGCCTTTTTTCATTTGTTGGGGCATCATTAGATATGTTCATAAGTGTTATATATTGGTTCTCCGCTTTTAATCGCCTGCTTTTAACAGCAGGCGATTGCTGTTAATGTACAAGCAATTTGGCCGCCGTTGGCTTCCCCGGGTACCGCTGCCCCGTGTGGCACCCGGGAGCGGCTCGGCGGGCCTCCCCGCAATGATCGGAGAGAGATTTAGCGGCTTCCAGCCGTTGATCTCTCCTGCGATCACTGGACCCGGAAGTGATGTGTATTATATCACTTCCGATGTCACTTTTACAGTCTCCGGCTCTTAGAGCCAGAAGATGAAGCTGAGGAAGCAGATCTCTGCTTCCTCAGCTTCTTTGGGGTCTAAAAGACCCCTGATGTCTCCATAAAGAGGACCTGCCGCACCCTATCTGCTATTACATAGGGGGCTTGTTATCCCTCTATGTAATAACAATAATGTTACTGTAAAAAAAAAATAGTGTTTAAAAATTCTAAAAATTAAAGTAACATAAAAGAAAAATTTAAAAAATTTTACAACATTTTTAAGTATGCGCCCCCAACGTGCACGCACATACACACGCAAACACGCGTCGTTACACCTTCTTGCCCTATTTTCCAAATTTTCAGGGTTACTAGCGGTATGGTTTTCCTTGAAAGCCAAAAAGCTCAATTTTAGTCTCATCTGACCAAAGTACCTTCTTCCATCCGTTTTGGGAGTCTCCCACGTGCCTTTTAGTGAACAGCAAATGTGTTGCAGTTACTTTTTTCTGGCCACTGTTCCATGAAGGCCAGCTCTTTAGAGTGTATGGCTTAAAGTAGTCCTATGGGGGGCGTGGACGAATGCAGTGGAAGATGGCCACATAGAGAAAGAGCTCCGATCCCGTTTCCACTGCAGGGCATAGCAACACAGCACGAGAGGACGCTAGCACCGGCTCTTTTCTTCCCACATCATCGCCTGCCACCCGGGACCAATATGAGCAAGCGGAAGCATAGAGGAAAACCGAGGAAACTGTCAGATTTCTTCAAATCTGTGGGCCCGCATGGACGTCCGAAAGATGGCGCCGTACTGTCCCGCGCAGCGGTATTACACTCCTCTGTCCCCGCGAATGGCTCCACACATCCGCCCGAAGCGACCACGGCAACCCCAGATTACATCTCAGACAGTGCTGAATCCTCCACCCAGGGAAGCCCTGAGAAGCCTAAATCTAAGAAGGCTACTCTTTTATGTCAAAAATAATCTAAATATGCATATAAGGGACGACATCACGTCAAATAGTGGGGAGGACGTGGAATCCTTATGGCCGGAACTGGACATGACGGACGATCGTCGCAAACTAATTGTGGGTATTTGTTATAAACCACCAAATATAGGGGAGGAGGGGGAGGCTCATCTACAGTCTGAAATAGAAATAGCTGGGAGGGAGGGCAATGAAGTCGTGATGGGCGACTTCAATTACCCGGACATAAATTGGGCAAATGGAACCTCAAGTTCAACAAAGGCGGGCCACTTTCTGAACATGTTGCGTGACAATTTCATGGACCAGATGGTGGAGGTCCCAACTAGGAAAAATGTCATCCTAGATTTAATCATTACTAATAAAGCGGAGTTAATTGAGGATATTGTTATTGGGGAGACACTGGGACATAGTGATCACAATGTGATTACTTTCTATATTGGATACAGGAAAGGGAAGCAGGCTGGTAGGACAAGAACCCTTAATTTCAGAAGGGCTAACTTTGATAAACTGCGCCACCTAGTGGGGGACATCAAATGGGAAAACTTATTTCACCAACTGAACTCGGACCAAAAGTGGGAATGTTTTAAAAACACCTTACATATTGCCATTGCCAAATGCATACCGTTGGGTAATAAAAGTAAAAGATCACAAACAAAACCTGTATGGCTTAATAAAACTGTAAAGCATCACATAAAGGAAAAGCGAGTGGCATTTATAAATTATAAGATGGAGGCGACGGCATTGTCGTTCGTTAACTACAAAGAATGTAATAAAAGATGCAAACTAGCAATACGCGCAGCTAAAATAGAGTGCAAAATGCATATTGCCACATATTGTTAAAAAAAAACAAAAAAATTTGACCAATATATAAACAGTAAAAAGGGGAGAAAGGAGCAACTCCGAACTCCAGAGCAAAGGAGGTAAGCAGAAACCCTTCCTCCTCTATTGCTGACATTGCTGATGATAATGATGACCATAGAGAACCGCTTGATGCATATCCTACGTCTAATCAGCCAGTGATAGACACCACGCTGAAGGACATGCTTCTATCTTTTCGCAATACTCTACATAATGACTTTACCTCCCTCATTCAAAAGCTTACAGTAGAACTGAGCAATTTGGGAGATAGAGTTGATTTCATGGAAAACAAAATGGGCGACTATGCAGAAGCCCACAATGAACTTGTGGATGCCCATAAGTCTAGAGCAGCCGAGGTCCCCCGCCTCAAAGATAAAATGGCGGATATTGAGGACCGCGCTAGACGAAACAATATCAAACTGAGAGGAGTGCCGGAGTCAGTGTCTTCATCTGATCTTAGAGGTTATGTTCAAACTATGCTCAGCACCCTCTTTCCCTCCTTGCAAAGCTTTGAATTGATAGTGGATAGAGCACACCGCCTACCGAAACCATCTTACTTCCCAGACAAACTGCCCAGGGACATCATTGCACGCATTCATTTTTTCCACGTGAAGGAGCAGCTTATGTCCCTAGCACGCTCCACATCTCCACTACCAGCCCCCTATTCACAATCACAAGTGACGCTGTACAATGATCTTTCTCAAGCAACAATACAGGAACGGAAAGCCTTACACCCTATAACCAAAGCTCTCCGTAATCACAATGTAGCATACAAATGGGGTTTCCCTACTAAGCTTAACGTATCTCAGAATGGCAAATTGCACGCTATAACTGATGTGAAGGCGGGATTTCAACTGCTTCAAACTTGGGGCCTCCTCACTACCCCAAATATAGATCCCACTTGAAGCCATACACAAAGGCGTACTACTAGAGCTTTATGCCCCCTCTACCAGTTATGTTGACTATCCTCAAAAATGACTGGCCCTGACTAATACCGTACCATTGGAGCCTCTCTCTG